TGGTGTTTAAACAATCTCCACATCTTAGACCATCCATCTTCTCAAATATTACTACTTCTCATCTGTTATTGTCAATTCAAATAGGCCAGCCTGAAAAGAAACAACACATAGGCAGTAAAAACCCGATGATCATCGGGAAGTCTGGTGTGCGCGGTCCACTCCCTTACACATGAGAAGAAAAATCAAAATTTATTTCGTAATCAAGAACGTCTCTTAGTTGTACGAAAAAAAGTTCATACACAACATTCATTCACAAAACCCCGGGATTCCCAAGACAAATACAAATCAAATGTGCATTTTGAAAAGCTAGACGCTTCTCTTCTCCGTTTCTGTGAATGCTGCATAGACCACTACAAGAATACGTTCTGCGGGCCTCAAATAACTGGCATAGTTTGTGTCCAGTCGCCGATGCTACTTTCTGTGGTTTCTACAGAATGGATGATAAGTCATCACATATCCACCGGACCCCAAATATTTCTATCATCAGAAGATGGAGACTCTCTTAAAAATGCTCCAAATTGCGGTCTTGCTGGTTGATTTCTTCCAAGAGGGAAGTTCCAAAATGAATCAGAGTTCTCAAAGAAGATGTAAAATGCGACAGCGGATGCTAAAAACAGCCCTAACAGCACCAGATAGATCTGCCACTCTGCATTTTTTGAAACAGAGGGTAAACAAAATTGTCAACCACATACGCACACGCACGCTCACACACACACACACACACACACACACACAGGGAGAGAGATACCTTTCCAATCTGCTGGAACAGTTAACTTAGTCACCACAGCTCCCCATTGATTAGAAGTACTAAGCACAACCCTGAAACCAAGGAATATGTTAGTCTAAAAGAACCAAAAGGGGAGCAAATTGCAGATAATTTTTTTGTCAGGTGACAGATACAATATCTAAATATACTACAAAGACTCGTCTCAAAGTTGAATTTCATTACACATATCAAGCAAGGGTTAGTGCTCATTCCAATGCAAAGTATCAAGAATCAAGACAAATGTTGTTCAGCGAAGACCAACAGAATCAGGATGTGTAGAACTCGTTGGAAAGCCTTACCTTTCAGTTGGACAGAACTCCAAAGTTTCAATGCTTGTTCCCAGATGTAGCCTCTTACTCCAGTGGCAAATTTCCATTTTCTTAACTTCCACCACGCATATATCACCATCTTTGCTTCCCCTTCAATTTTATGATTAAACAAAAGTGCACATTAGCCAAAGTGATATCATAAACCATGTTACACACGCGGCATTCTCAAATTTACCAAGTCATCAGAACATTGTCTCCTAATGCTTTGTTACTCATCGTAGAATTGAAGAAAGAACATAATGAATCACTTTGTTTTGATAAATAAATAGCAAATTGAATATACGGTGTCCTCCCTCTTGCACGTGTGTGCATGAACAGCGAACGAATACATGTGTAACCACAGCAATATGTGTGTATCAAGTTATAAGTATCGACAAACCTTCAATAAAGTATCCACCTACCAGCAATCTTTAACTTTCAAATCGATGCACCAGCGTAGAAATTTGTTGTCTAACAAATTGTCAAATAAAGCCTAGTACTATAAACAAAGGATCAAATGCAAAGTTAAGTGCTTACAGTGCAAGATATTTCCCGTCTTTGCTGACAGACATAACAGAAGCAGACTTTTTAAGTAGCCGCTTATGCCCAATTTTACTCCATGTACTTATGTCCCAAACTGCAGTGAAAGCTTTATCGCCTGTTTGATTCATACAAGTACATTTAGATGCCAAGAAACAATAATATAGCAGTCTAGATTATTTGCTTCACAGTTCAGAGAGGTAAACCTTTTTGAACGGTGCAAAACAGAAAGGGTTTTGTCCCATCTTTAGAAAACCGGCATAGTTCAATCTTTTCATCCTGCACAAATAAAACCCCGAACATTAGGCCGATCCGACCAAAGGAAGAAAAAACAAATATTATACCAATATAGAAGAAAATCCACAATATATATTCAAAAGTTAAAGAAATCATCCCTACCGAGTTGCGAGTCAAAGTAGTCAAAGGAACACCATCTTCCAGCTTCCATATTCTTGCTGAGCCATCAGTAGATGTTGAAGCTAAAAACTCGGTGTCTAGGCTAGAATATAATATGAAAATAGATCCGAATATTCAAAATCTAGAATAGGACATGTATGGAAGTCGTCTTACAAATAAAATTAAGTCAACAGACAAAAGAAAAAAAAATCCGTTAACGCCTATTATTTTTCATTATATTACCAACTCGTAATTTTTTATACTAGATTTAATCACGACAAAGATGTTTCAACAATGAGTTCAGAGATTCTTTGATGAGTGGAATAAATACTGCAAGAAGGCATAAAGGTGTTCTTCTACATAACTACATTGACGTTGTTTAAAATACTCAACCCTTTTTACAGTCATATCCCAATGCAAGGAGATGAAAAAAAATATCGGAGTTTATAAATTTTTTTTGTTTATAGGTGTTGTCCTGCATAAGCAAAACAAGCTTGTTTCTCACCTGAAATCCATATCACGCACAGAGTTATGCGCATTTGGTTCATCTAAGATTATTCGCAGGCTTGGCCACTCCAAAATTCTCAAATGCCCATCCTATAGTTGATCAGGACATAAATAAAAACATGTTTGGAACAAAATAAAAATTAACTAAAATAGAAGCACAAGAAGTCAAATTATAACAATAGGGGAGTTAAAGTTTATTGCTTACCACACCACCAGTAGCCAATTTAGATCCATCAACACTAAAAGCTAGACACTTCTGTGGACCGATTCCTTCCAGAGGAGGTAGTTCTTTTGCCAACAGCTTTGCAGTTGATTCTTGGCCATATAACTCAAACAATCTGCAATCACCACAAAAACCTCATTCAATGGCTAGTTGTGTGGGAGGTATTGACACACTAGCTACTTAAGGAAACAATACTAGTGGTGGTCACATTTGGCTACAAAACTTCAGCTAAAATGTCAATAAACGTACAAGCTAACACAGGAGGAAGAGCATAAAGAGAAGACGATGTACTAGTCCATGAACAATAGTAAGCTGGACATGAAATTCATAGAAAGTATCATCATCATCCTTTTGATTCTCTATTCATATGAAAATTATGTTCATTGGTTTCAGTGGGATCAAAAAATAAAAAACAAAATAAAAAAGCAGATATATCAGGCCAATACAGAATCGCTAAGAACAAGACCAAATTATCTTTTGGGTTCTAAATTCCAACTGGCTCAAATGACTAAGATATCCTTTCCAATGAAACGCAGGAATATATTTCACATATCCGTGTACCTCGTTAATCCTTTTGCAGCACTAATAGTATACTTTAAGGGAAGTGATTTTCCCAAACCATTTTTAGCCTTTTACACACTCCTCTTAAATCATGGCCGTTGATTCCGTTTGATTTATCCAATTCGCTGACCATAAAAAAAGAAGGGTGTGAAAATCACTTCCGACTTTTATCATAACATTCAAACTGTGAATCATGTGGTAAACTTTTTAACAATCAAACAGAGCGCTACAGTTTGTCCAACAACATCAGACAGCATTTCCATGTCAAAGTTGAGTCCCTAATTAGATTCCAAACTGTTTTGTGATACCATAGGATGTGAAGGCTTCATTGAGAAATTCACTGGTTAGAGAGAAGAGGATCACTTTAACTATCACAAGACCCAATCCAAACTTGGTTTATAGTGATGATCAACATTGCATATCATATTGTTAGAACATCTACTATTGTTTAACCTCTACCACGTTAGACATACAAAATGATAGAGATTACGTTGATTTTGTATGGGTCGCACATGTGTCACATGTCAAGGAAAAAGAAAAGCTCCAAGGGAACCATAAAATGGAAATTTCATGCTCACACGAGAATGACATATCCCTCTGCACATGTAAACCTTCAATTTGATCATAAGAAACATACTAAATTTGAACAGACCCCACAATCTTCTCTTTTGAATATCTTAACAACTCACCAAACCTAAATATTCTAAGAATACTAATTCAGTATCAAATTTGAAGATTAATTACAGTTAAGAGCAAGATTTAATCATCATTATTTAATTATCATAACACTATAAAACTTATAAAAAATAAAATAAAAAAAAATAAAAAACCCAGAACCGACAACAGTAGGATTGATATAAAGCAACAAAAAAGTTGATAAATTTGGAAACATAAAATATAAGTAGAAGAGAGAGAAGCTCACTTGCAGACACCATTGGAGGTAGAGCAGACGATGTCGTCGCCGCTTGGGTGCACCGCAATCGAAACTACATCACCCTCCACTTCTTCAAGCACATATGTGCTCTACAAACAATCAAACCACCAAAAGAGTCAACCCCACCCAACAGAAAAGTCAAACCCAACCTTCATTCGAGCTCTCTTATGTTAACCCCTCAAACAAAACAATAAGTACCCAATTCACAGAGATTACAAAAAACACAGATTTTAGAGAGAGAAAGAGAGAGACCAGGGGAGAGGAGGAGTGAGAAGTGGTCTTGGGGTCGAAGGAGAAGATCTCGAGAACTGACGAAGAAGAAGAAGGAGAGCCCTCAGGCCTGGACCTCCCGAACACCACCCAACTGGCGTTTTCGGGCCGCCGGATCCACGACCCGCACGTGACCGGACCCTGCTGATCGGACCCACCACCCGCCATTCAATTCTATTTCCGAGATAGAGAGAGACAGAAAAACAAAGAAGGAATTCAGGAATTCGTTTTATTATTATGTTGTCGTCGTTTTATAGAAGGAATGAAAAGGTCGAAATCGAAAAGAATCACGTTGTTGTCGTTGTGGGTCCTACGTACGAATGTACATCAACGGCGGTGATGCTGATGACAAAGTTGTTGGTGGAAGTGGAACAATGTCAACGCCCTTGTCCAATTATCGGTAATGGATATTCGCTCAAAATTCTACGCCTTTTATCCTTACACATTTCTGGGATTGGGCCCAATTAAGGCCCATTGATAGTTTGGGAACGGCCCATATCCAACCTTAGGCAATTTAACATTTGTTTCTATCAGTAAAACCCCTGCCCTAGTCCGATACAAAAACCCTACCGTTCTCTCCTTCTCCCTCTCCCTCTCCCTCTCGAGCAGCAACAACTAAATCGCAGAGTCATAGAGGTATTGCTTTGGTTCATCTAACGTTGTATCAGAGAATTCATACCAACTGTCGGATGATGATATGTCCTGTCAACATTTCCAATCTTGGTGTTTTGTTTTTTGCTTGCTCGTTATGTTCTAGTGTCTTGTTGCGTAGTTCTTTGTCTTATGTTTCTGTTTAATTTCTTACGTTTGTGATGGGGGGTAAGGTTTCTATTCCTTCGATGCTCGAAAAATCCCGGAATTTGATTATCTCAAACTCCGTTGTTTTTCTCGTGCTTTTAGTGTTCATTTATAACAAATTCACCATTTGAATTGGGTTGGTTTGTGGGTGTGCCGCGTGAAAGATGTGGTTTTTCAAGCTAAAAGATTTATGTGCACCAGTTTATCTTTTTTTTCTTTGGAAAAATAAAATTTGAATGTCGTCGTTGAATGGTATTGCTCATCAAGTTTCAGGGTATTTTGCGTTTGAAGGATACAAAACTGCTGTAAGCTAGATGGGTGTGAAACAAGACGGTGGCACTATTGACATTGTGCCTGCAATGGAACAGGTACGCGTGAAAATCAACTGATTATAATTTTATTACGGAAATCAACTGGTTATATTTTTTTGTAGCAGTCCCACAAGATCTGCTTGCAGTCATGGTTCTACTCAATCTCATCGAATATGTTTGTTAGATGTTTTGTTAGGTGGAGATTTTCAAGTTTTGATATTTTGGTATTTTAGTTATGATGGCTCTGGATTATGCTCTCACCTTTTGTACATTGCACTATGTAACTCACCAACGTGAGACGTGAACTCTAGGATCTTATGTGCACATAATTTTCTTAAAAGGGGAATGAGAAAATAAAACGGGCAGTACCTTAATTTGCAGGAGAAGATTTCTGATGAGTTAGATAAGAGAGTGAAGAAGTTTCTTAGAGGAGCAGAAGCAAATTTGGAGGTATGGCCTAGAAACTTTGAGTTTTCATGAAACTTATGCGTGTTTATTTGTCACTGCATCTTGGATTTTTTGTGTTTTCAGGGCTTGAAAGATAAGAAATTGAAGGGTCAACTTGCTGTTAGAGAAGAATTGTATGGAAAATCTGCACAAGCTGCTGCCAAGGCTGAGAAGGTGATTTGTTTTCCTTAATGTGATAGGTTGGTCTGTTCAAACTTTTACGGAAGGGGAAAGAATCTTACATAGAGTCATGCTCAAGCAGTAGACTGGACTTTGTACACTCTCTTTTCCAGTCGTGTACTGTTGTATTACATTTTTCTCTGACTTACTGGATTTAGTTTATACAAGCGATCTTCTACATGAAATCTTGCTTCCCCTGTTCTTTTAGTCCATGTAATACTGATAACAATTGATTTGAATGTTTGTTTTGTTTTTTATCAAAATTATCAGTGGCTTCTTCCAAGTGAGGGAGGCTATTTGGAGGCTGAAGGCATAGAGAAGACATGGATGATCAAACAAGAATCAATTGCTCGTGAAGTAGATATCTTAAGCTCAAGAAGTCAATATGATATTGTCTTACCAGGTTGAAACCCAAGCCTTATTATTGATCTCTAATGATGTTTTAGTCGGTCAGAGTTTTTCATTAAAACTTTGTTGTTTTCCTTATTGAAGTTTAAATTTTGCATGGATTGTATCTGGTGCGTCTTTCTCATATCAGTTGCGAAAATTTCGGTTCACCTGGTCTAAACAAAACTAGTCTGTCTGAATTTTTCATTGAAACTTTATTCTTCACCTTATTGAAGTTAAGAGGTGGCATGTACTATATCTTGTTGTGTGTCTTTCTCATATCAGTTATGCAAATTCTGGTTTAGCTGGCCGAAGAAAATTTAGGTTTAGAATGACCTGAACTTGGACTCAGATAGTTCCTTACTTTTTTATGCATTAGCTCTTATCATGCAGATGACTCCATTTCATGTTATTGTCGTTGTCTAATTCACTTCATTGTACACCAATTTATTTAGTAATACGAACCACCTGAACCACTGTTATTTTTGGTAAGACAAATTCTTTCTTACAATCCATAGGCTTGGGCTTAAATTAATTACTGAATTGTCTGGATAACTGTGCCTAAATTGTTTATTTTGAACTGCCTAATTAGGAGCCAGTCCAGGATATTGAAAACTCACTTGACTATCACATGGCTGCTTAAAAAACTACTAGGGACATAACTTTCATCTACCAATTCCAATAGTGAACGGAATATAAAATGCAAACAAATTCAAATAAAAGATAAGCAACTAAAATCCGAAGCTGACTACAACACAAGCCAAGGTGGTTACCCGTTAGGTCTTGGGAATGCCTTGTAAATGCTCCCGTATCACTGAAATTACTCTAATATGTGTAACTGAACTGTAACTCTTGACTGCAGATCTCGGTCCATACACGCTGGATTTCACCTCAAGTGGTCGATATATGGCAGTTGGCGGACGCAAGGGCCATCTGGCTATTCTAGACATGAAAAATATGAGCCTGATCAGAGAGATTCAGGTATCTTGGGCAGTATGAGTTCAAAATAAAATAGCCAAACTATAGTTTTGACACTGAGTACAGATACTTTCTCAGCCTGATGTTGTGACCTTGTGTTACACAAAATTGTCCATCTCTTGCTGTATTGATTTAGATGTGATCCCATGTCCTAGTCTTCATATGTGAAGTTTGAATATATTAGTGGTGAATTTAATGGCCTAGATAGGATGCTGAACTTTGTAACAAGCATTTTAAGTTTTTATTGTTTGTTGAAACTAGTTACCTTCTGTAGTTTGTATAAAAGTTGTGGGAAGAAAGAATGAAATTCATTATGCAAGTATATTTTAAACAATTAATCTTTGCACCTTATCAAGTTGTGTGATTGTTAAGGTTTGAGTCAAATTATTGGTTCAATTTCATTGGAGTTTTTTATTGTCTAAATGTGAAAGTTGTGTTTTGAGTCAAATCATCGGTTATATGTCATTGGAGTTTTCTACTGTCCAAATGTGAAAGTAGCATGAAAGTTGTGTGATTGTTACGTTTTGAGTCAAACTATCGATTAGTGTGAAACATGTTTTTCTCTGTGTTTAAGAATATGCTGGAGTGTTGGGAGCTTCTTTTATTTGTAACTCAGGGTTTGACTGGAACATTAGACCGATTACCCAATTGTTTTTGTTCAGGTTAGAGAAACAGTGCATGATGTGGCGTTCTTGCACAACGAATTGTTCTTTGCTGCTGCCCAGAAAAAGTATAAAACTGTTTTATGCACTTAATGTTATTTATGTTGGTAATCTTTCAACATTTACAGGGTAGATTATGAAATGGCTGTTATAAATGGAAATTTGCTTCTGTTGCATGTGATTGTATTGCCAAACATCAATATCCCTGTCTTATATTTGTATTTATTTATTTTTGTTTAGAAAAACGGATGACTACTCAGATATTTTTAGAACCTGCTCGTCTACCTTTCAACTTACATGTTGGTTCAGTGAGTTATACATTTATTTTGCAACCACATTTTTCTATTCTTGGTGGTTGTGTGATGATGAATTTTACTCCCGTTTTACATACACTGAGTTGGCCAATGATCTCCATAAAGAGGCATTCTTCTTGCTAATTAGCAGTGCTTAAAATATTTTACTCTGCACTTAATGCTACTACAATCATGATACAGGTGCAATTCTTGGTTTATGTTGCTCAAAACTATTTTGTCATTGTACTTATCCTTCTGCTTCTATTTCCAAACAAAGTTCTGTAGGGCTCATCCTACTGTACTTATTCAACCGTTATAACACTCATGTTTCTTAACAACCCATTACAATCTATCGTGTTTTTTTGGGTCATATACAGCTTATTTTGTCTTGCAACATGAATGTTTACAAGAGTTGGATTTATAAGCAGCCCGCATTTTGTATTCGGTATCTGTAGTCTGTACTAGTTTATGTTCTTCTTAAGTTTTCCTGAATGTTGTTGTGCTACATAAGATTGATGTTTATCTTATTTAGTATGGCTAACCATTTTAATTAACAACAGGTATCCATATATTTATAATCGCGATGGTACTGAGCTTCACTGCTTAAAGGTCAGTATACAGTAATGAATAGATTGTGTCTCAACACTGGGCTCACAATCCTGCAATCGTTTTAAAGGCTTTCCTCAACTATTAGCAACACATAACTAATTACTCTAAATATTGCAAGTGCAATTTTCATTTCCCATGTCTCTGTTTGAGTTGTCTCATCACAATGTATGTATTATGAACCAGCTAATCAATTATTTCTTGACTTACGTTTCTGACGAGTCTGTATTATAGATGGAGTAGAGTTTTAAAGCTCTCCAGATAGGTCTGTGATGGTCTGTGAGAGTTGAAGCATTTTAAGATTGCTACATTCTTTCCTTTCTCAGACCATAATCTGTGATTCCTTGTCTTTTCATAAATAGATGCGTAATCTATTCTCAGTTCACAACTAAAAGAAATTTTCTGAACTGTGATTTGCCGCTGTAAAAAGCACTGGTATTCTGTTAATATAGTGGTTAAGGTAAATTCTTAGGCAGATCAGGTTAAACATGTCAAGTAATAGGAAATGAAGCCTCCATAAATGGGCCAGAGTCTTTAAAGTCAGTTGCGTACTTGCCTTGATTTTATGTGTAATTGTGCTCTGGACCTTGAGTTCTAGGAATCAGTGCTCCTCATATATGTAATATTCTGACAGACCAAAGAGTTCCTTGTGATCATGTTGTCTCCCTTTATAGTCAAGTGGATGATTTCAGATGCATCGTTATGGAACTAAAGTCATACTTCTTATCATTTAGGAACATGGCGCAGTTTTAAGGCTTCAATTTCTGAAAAACCACTTCCTCTTGGCATCAGTAAACAAATTTGGGCATCTTCGTTATCAGGATGTAACAATGGGCAGGATGATAGGTAGTTACAGGACAGGCTTAGGCCATACTGATGTGATGCAGGTGAATCCCTACAACGGGGTTGTTGCTTTGGGTCATTCAGGTGGTAAAGTTTCCATGTGGAAACCTACAAGCTCTGCTCCCCTCCTGCAGAGGCTGTGTCACAAGGGGCCCATCTCAGCGATGGCATTTCATCCTAATGGCCATCTCATGGCCACAGCTGGGAAAGAGAAGAAAATCATGCTTTGGGATTTGAGGAAACTTCAGGATGAACCAATTCAAACTTTACCGGGCCATGCATCGACTTTGGATTTCAGTCAGAAAGGTCTGCTTGCTCGTGGGTGTAAGTCATATGTGCAGATCCTGGGAGATTTTTCTGGGTCTCAGAACTACGAGAATTATATGGGCCATAGAATGATTAAAGGTTACCAAATAGGAAAGGTGTTGTTTCGACCTTACGAAGATGTTCTGGGCATAGGGCACTCCATGGGGTGGTCTAGTATTCTAATTCCTGGTTCTGGGGAACCCAACTTTGATACCTGGGTGGCGAATCCATTTGAAACATCTAAACAGAGAAGAGAGAAGGAAGTGCACTCTCTACTTGACAAGCTCCCACCTGAAACAATCATGTTGAATCCCACAGAGCTTGGCACCGTGAAGACTCAGAGGAGGAAAGAGAAGCGAACAAAGGAGGAGAAAGAGGCAGAGATGGAAGCTGCTGTGGAAGTTGTCAAGGGCATCGAACCGAAGAAGAAAACAAAAGGGAGGAATAAGCCGAGTAAGAGGGCCAAGAAGAAGCAAGAGATGATTGTGAGTGCCAAGAGGCCTTTCTTGGAGCAACAAAAGAAAGAGGAAGAACAAGCTACTAGGAAGAAGCAGAAAGTAAGCGAGCAAGTAGAACAACCAACAGCTTTGCAACGGTTTGTTCGCAAGAAAGCAGCTACATGACTGCTAATCTAGGTATCGTTTCTATGTTGTATTTTATTTATTTCAATGTTACTCGTCAATGATTTTTCTTTTTGTATTAGAGGTAGAATGTGTTGCAAAATTTTGTTTTCGTTTTAGATATTGGAAACTTCTCCTTTTCTGTAAGAAGATAAACATTCGAAATTCTATATCCCGAAGGGAATGTTTGTTTTCTATTACGAGTGTTATTATTGTTCTAAACTACACTAAGCGGAGGGATATGATTTGAACCCGAGACATAGGAGATGTTTGATAGGCAGAATTAAGAATTCAATCCATGTTTGCTGGCTATGAATTCGGTCAATGTTTGGTGGTTATTCGGATTGGAAGGTTTTTCTACTATGCACTGTGGAGCATGGTACCGTTAGAGTCTTGGGACGTTTTGAACAAATACAGAAAACAGAAATCCTCCGCCCTCCTAAATTCTATATTATACACCGGAGCATGGTAGAATTTTTGCAGATTGATTCGTGAGTCTGGTTTTACTCTGACCTGCTTTGCACCTGCTTGATCTTTTTAGCCTCTGTTCTTTTGGTGGGTTTATGCAGGGCTATTTTTCAGTCACGTATGCTTCTCAAAATTGAACCAAATCAGAAAGCGCTTAATCCGTTGGATTCATATGGTTCATTCCAAATTTAAAGTGTTTGTGGTACTGGTTACGGTGCATCGTCGGAGAATGATAAGGAGAACCAGAAAGTAGAACAAAAAAAACGCACAAAGAAAAAGATTGCTATCGTTCCACTAGTTAGAAAGACCCAAATGACCAAATCATGTTTACAGACTCATGATTTCGAAAATGACTTACATAACACGAGTATAACGTTATGGAAACATTATGTGTCAATGAAATAAAAACATAAAGTTTTTTTTCCACGTACCTTTATTTCATTAGCATTAGACACCTTGTGATGATGACCTTGTGCCACATAACTTGTCATCCATTATGAGAGTATTTTTGTTCACCACCCTCACTTCGGTATATAATCATCATGCACCTAATCATTTACAATATGTCATTTTACTTAACCTAATCTTGGTTAAGTTTTTTTAAAAATAAAAAAGTATCATTTAATGCAAAAATTAACTAACTGTGGATTTCAAACCCAAAGCATTTAATTGGAAGAAAGACTTGCAATCCGTGATTTATTACTAAAACATCAGCTCGTGGCAAGTTGGTTCATCATTTAAAACAATATGCCTACGCCGTAAAGACAGTTGAGCTTAATGTGACACTCCACACTGAATTCTCACTTCTCTCTCTCTCTCTAATTTCTCAACAATTAGTCAGTCAGTCTCACTATCCAGATTCCAAATATATCGATCCAGTTTTATGACGAATCTCTTATCCTTCACCCCAACCACTCCTCTTCTCCGCCACCTCTCCGTTTTCTCTGTCGTGCGCCGTCGCCACAACCCCACCACCCTCAAGTCTCCACCACATACCCTCTCACAGTCGCCTCTGCACGTCCTCTACCGTGCGCCGCACCCTCCCCCACGCCCCTCCCGCTCCGTGTCCGCTCTACCCTCCCCCGCCGATGGCCTCATGCAGGACGCCGGAGCCACCGCCGTCGTAATCGCTGGCGCCTACGGCCTCGTCCTCTGCTTCGATAATCTCACGCAGCGAAATCTTCTCCGACAGGTGATTTTGCTTCCTCCCATTAATTTTCTTCATGTATTGTTTACCATTATTTTTTCCATTTTATTTAAAATATTTTTTATTTTATTTTTGCTACTGTTGGTCATGCACAGTTGCGTGGATTGTCAGCCTTCTTATTTACATATTTTTTTCGTGTCATCCTGTTTGTGTGGTCACGATTAAACCACGTCAATATTTTATATTCTTATTATTTTTATAAAAAATTAATATAAAATATTAACGTGGTTTAACCGTAACAACACATTATAGAAACGTAGGAAAAGAGTAGAAATAGAAGGGCAAACAATCCACCTCTCTCCCTTCCTTCTCTCTCCGTTTTTACTGACGACAACGTGGCACATAGTTTGTTTTTAGCAAGTGAATAATAGGATGGTTGTCTTGCTTGTCAGAAAATAATATGAAAAGAGAAAGAAAAATAATGGTGCTATAAAAAGATCAAAGTTAGAGGAATAACTTTTTTAATGGTAAGTGCAAGGTAAATTTAAATGCCAGACTAAAACTATAGCACAGGCAGATAACAAATAAAAGCAGAGAAAATAGATGATGTTACTGATATTTTTCTCTCGTTCACTTCTTCTTTTCTTTTCTTGTAACTTAAAAACATGCGGAGTGCTCTATTTATAGAGCAACTCCAAACTGATGCAGTTAATGCATTTTGAAATTTTACGACACTTCGTCTGACTATACAATCTCTATGTATTCAACTTTCACTTTGCATGGGCATTGAAAACTTATGCCCATGCTAAAGACTTTTGCTAACATACTGTGTGGGCATTCATTGCCATCAGACTTTTCAACACTCCCTCTTGGATGCCTACATATCAACGTGAGTTGTCTCGTTAAAACCTTGCTTCGAAAAACCCAGTGGGAAAAAACCATAGCGAAGGAAAAAGAGTACAACTTTCCTGGATCGTTGATATAGTGTCAAGTATGCTTATGTTGCCTCATTAAAACCTTGATAGGAAAAACCCAGTGGGAAAAATCCTAATCGAAGGAAAAATAGTACAATAAGCATGTATCATGGATACTCCCCCTGATATGTATCTCCCCCTGATTCCGCATTCTCCAAATTTAGCTGTTTGGTAAGTCGACGTAATCCGATACCTTGCACTAACTTCTGAAATGTGCACTTTGGTAGATATTTGGTGAACAAGTCTGCCAGATTTTCATTTGAACGGATTTGTTTGACTTCAATAACTTTAGCCTTCTGAAGCTCATGAGCACTGAAAAACTTTGGAGATATGTGTTTAGTCTTATCTCCCTTGATGAATCATTCCTTCATTTGGGCAACACAGGCTGCATTATCTTCATGGATGACAGTTGGATTGTCTGTCTTCGAAGTTAGAACACATGAATTCCGGATATGATGGATCATTGATCTCAACCAAGAACATTCACGACTTGCTTCATGTAAAGCAAGTATTTCTGAATTATTTGAAGATATAGCAACTATTGTTTGCTTGGTTGAGTGGGCTTTATGAGTGGGCTTTATGCGGATCAGAGAGGAAGCCAGCATTTGCATATCCAACAAGGACCTGGTATTGCAATACATCTTTGATACCCTTCCAATGGCGAATTTTTGGAGTAGAGCTATACCTTGCTAACAAGTTAACTGAAAAAGTTATATCTGGTCTAGTACATTATGCTAAATACAACAAAGCACCTACTGCACTCATATATGGTATTTCTGGACCAAGGACCAGTTCATCATCTTCTTTTGGACGGAATGGATCTTTCTTAATGTCCAAAGAACGAACGACCATTAGCGTGCTTAGTGGATAAGCCTTGTCCATACCAAATCGCTTCAGAATTTTTTCAATGTAAGCTGATTGGTGAACCAAAATTCCACTAGCACAATGCTCGGCCTGCACAATATTTTGTTTTTCCAAGGTCTTTCATTTCAAATTCGCTTTTCAGATATTCAGCAGTTTTATTGAGCTTTTCAGGAGTCCCAACTTGATTCATATCATCAACATATACTGCCACTATAGCGAATCCAGAATTGGATTTCTTAATGAACACACAATGGCAAATAACATTGTTGATATACCCTCCTTTGATCAAATACTCACTGAGACGATTATACCACATTCGTCCAGATTGTTTCAGACCATACAATGATCGCCTTAATTTGATCGAGAGCATACCTCGTGGTTTATTACTTGTTTCAGGCAACTTAAGTCATTCTGGGACTTTCATATAGATGTCAGTATCTAATTCTCCATATAGATACGCAGTGATAACATCCATAAGTCGCATGTCAACTCTTTCTGAAACCACTAAACTTATTAAGTAACGAAACGTAATTGCGTCCATTATAGGAGAGTATGTCTCCTCATAATCAATTCCAGGTTTTTTAGAAAAACCTTGTGCAACGAATCGAGCTTTGTATCTTGCGATCTTCTTTTTCTCATTTCGTTTCCTTGTGAATACCCATTTATAACCCACGGGGTTTACACTAGGCGGGGTTTGGACTACTGGTCCAAAAACATTCCGCCTTTCCAAGGAATTTAATTCTGCCTTGATTGCATCTTTCCACTTAGGCCAATCCTGTCTCTGTTTGCATTCATCAACAGAGCGGGGCTCAATATCATCACTTAAGATGATTTCAGTGGCTACTGCGAATGCAAACATATCATCGATGATTGTTTCATTCCGATCCTACAATTCATTTGTACATGCATAGTTTATGGAGATTTCTTTGCTTTCATGTACTTCTGTCTCTTCAGGGACATATGTCTCATCAAGGACATTTTCTTTTTCTGAAAGTCCAGAATCATGAATTGTGGATGTAGCATTCATTTTCTCTTCTTGAATGACTTCATTTGGATTCAGTTGTGCCCTCGACTTTCTCTTTCGAAGGGCTGAATCTTTTGAACCTTGGGGTCTACCACGCTTTAGGCGTGCACCAGATAAATCATTCGCTGCCACTTTATTTTGTCCAACAGGGACAACAATTCTTGCAGGTGCATTTGCAGCTGATATATGTGATTTTGTCACTTTCATAGCATCATTAAATGCATCTGGCATTTGATTGGCAATGCTTTGAAGATGAACGATCCTTCTCACTTCATTTTCACATTGAATGCTGCGAGGATCAAAATGAGACAAGGTGGGAACAACCCATGTCAGCTCTTTCCGTTCTTCTGGAACAGTCTTTTCTCCCCCTAACAACGGAAGTTATTAACTGAAGCCGCTTGAACAATACTTCTGCTAAACCATTTTGAGTATGGACATGAGGAACAGGATATTCAACATTAATGCCCAATGTCATGCAATAATCATCAAAGGTTTGAGACGTAAATTCACCAACATTATCAAGTCAGATTGACTTAATGGGATAATCTGGGAACTGTGCTCGTAACTTAATTATCTGAGCAAGAAGTCTCGCAAAGGCTACATTTCGCGTAGACAAGAGACAAACATGTGACCATGGGTTGATGCATCAACCAAAACCATAAAATATCGAAATGGTCCACATGATGGTTGAATAGGCCCACAAATATCTCCTTGAATTCTTTGCAGAAATGATGGGGATTTAGCATTAACTTTTAGTTGAGATGGTCTAATTACCAACTTCCCTTGAGAACAAGCTTTGCAAGGGTTATCATTTGAGGCAGCAATGTGTCTGCTCACTAATGGATGTCCATTAGAGTTGGTAATGATCCTATGCATCATGGTAGATCCTAGATGACCCAGACGGTCATACCAAAGCATGTAAACCTTTGAATCAATGAACTTTTGGTTCATGACAGTATGTGATTCAATTGTCCTTATGTATATATAATATAATCCACTCGACATACCACGCAACTTCTCCAATATACGCTTTGGGTATCATTGGAGGTAATGCATAGATACTTCACATTTTCTGCACTTTTTTGTTTCAATGTGGTATCCATTTAGACGTATGTCTTTGAAACTCAACAAATTTCGGGTAGATCAAGTAGCATACAATGCATTCTGTATGGACAATATTGTTCCATTTGGTAACATAATCTGGGCTTGCCCTGAACCTTGAATTACATCTGAAGGTCCTGATATTGTTGTTACTCCTACTCTTGTAGGTATTAAGCTTGAGAAATACTTTTGATCACGAAGTATTGTATGTGTGGTTGCACTGTCTGCAAGACAAATATCTCCGTCATTTCTCATGTTCTAAGAATAACCATAGTTTTTATCCATGCTCTCTGAGTAAGAGAATCAGAATTAAAAGCAAGTTATAACAAGAAAATTTACATGCCACTTTTATTTAATCTGAAATACTACAAGTTCAGCATAATAAAAGTACATTAATGATTCAATTGGACCGGTATACTTCATTTCCCCTTTCCATAATAAAGTCTGGAACATCTAGATGAGTTGTGTTCAACTGCCCTGATAAGTCAAACACTGGATCAGATATATCTATTGGTCTAGCCTGGTCGAGAAAGTTGGTCTTAACACCCTTCTCCTTGCTGGAGGCTTGATACAGATCCACTAGATGTTTTGGGGTACGACAAGTACGCGCCTAATGCCCATTGCCACCACACCTATAGCAGGCTCCTTCAGAGTTTCTAGGAGCATTGTTCATATGAGCTTTGCCTTTGTGGCGATTCGCATTTTTGAAGCTCGGACCTGAACTATGCCTCGGAACCTGGTTGTGAAACTGAACTCCATGATTCTTGCCTTTCCTATTCCATTGACCTCGCTTGTGGCCACGTCCTCGTTTATGATTATCACCATCAAAGGATGTGGCGTTCACTTCGAGAGAAACAACATTCACTTCTGAGAATGGTGCAGATCCAGTAGGTCGGGAATGATGGTTTTTCATCAGGAGCTCATCATTCTATTCAGCTACTAAAAGCACAGATATCAGCTGGTTGTACTCAGTGTAGCCTCGCGCTCTATACTGCTGTTGCAGGAACACGTTGAAGGCATGAAATGTGCTGAGAGTCTTTTCCAGCATATGCTCCTCAGTAATAATATCCCCACAGAGCTTCATCTGAGAGGTAATTCTGAACAATGCAGAATTGTATTCTGCCACTGACTTGAAGTCTTGGATCCTCAAATGAGTCCACTCATAGTGAGTCATTGGAAGAATCACCGTTGTCTGGTGATTGTATCTGTTTCTCAAGGCATTCCGGAGAGCTAACGGATTTTCAACCGTTAAGTACTCGCTCTTTAACGCCTCATCAAGATGGAGGCGAATGAAAATCATAGCCTTTGCCCGATCTTGAGAGGATGAGTTGCTTTCTTCCCTGATGGTATCTCCAAGATTCCCTGCTTCCAGATGGATTTTGGTATCGAGTACCCAGGTCAGGTAATTCTTCCCGGTAATATCCAGGGCAGCAAATTCAAGCTTCGCCAAGTTCGCCATTTTTTTTAAAATTTTTCATTTTGATCTTCAGGCCAAAATGATAAGCACTCGAAACTTCTAGCTCGAGATTTTCAGGGTGAATGAGAAGGGCGATTGTACCGCACCATTCTCATTGAAATAATGTAATATAGAATGGGCAATTATTCCGCACCACTCAAGTAACAGGAAAATTAAATATGCAGAGCAGTGTGGGCGATTATACCGCACCACCTAAAATTGCAATGAAATTAAACAGCAGGTAAATTTATAAGCAAGATAGGGTGGGCGATTATACCGTTCCACCTAAAATTTGCAGTAAAATTAAATCTGCAGTCCAAAATAGACGATGATACCGCACCGTCTTGGATCGCAGTAAGAATAAATTTGCAGTTCAAGATGGGCGATTGTACCACACCATCTTGGATTCGAGTGAAATTAACATAAATAAATACTGGGTTAGTAATCAATCTCTACACCAAACAAGTAATCAAAGATGTATGTAACCGTTAGTTGGAGAACTAAGAGCAGGCATGGAGCAAACAGTTCCTCGCGAGGGTATACTGCGCAGTTGAGGCAGAGAAAGAAGATGAACAGTAAAAACCTTAAAGGAAACATTTTTTTTTTCTTTCGTTCGTTCGGCGAAGAGAGATGAGAGAATAATTATATTTAGAGACTCGTGCTGATAACGTGTTATAAAAATGTCAAAGTTAGAGGAATAACCTTTTTAATGGTAGGTGCAAGGTAGATGTAAAATGCCGCACTAAAACTATAGCACAGGCAGATAACAAATAAAAGCAGAGAAAATAGATGATGTTACTGATATTTTTCTCTCGTTCACTTCTTCTTTTCTTCCTTGTAACTTAAAAACATGTGGAGTGCTCTATTTATAGAGCAACTCCAAACTGATGCAGTTAATGCATTTTGAAATTTTATGAGACTTCGTCTGACTATACAATCTCTATGTATTCAACTTTCACTTTGCATGGGCATTGAAAACTTATGCCCATGCTGAAGACTTTTGCTAACATACTGTGTGGGCATTCATTGCCATCAGACTTTTCAACAAATGGCATAACCTTCGATTTTCATTTGAAGGTAGAGGTGAATGATTTTTCCTTTTGAGAGAATTAGAAGCCTATAAGGGGATTAGATGCAAATAAAACTTGGAAGAGGATCCTCTCCTGAGCATAGGATGGGGATCCTCTTGACCACAAAATCCAGACCGTTTAATTTTAATCCAACGGTTGCAATTATTATAATTTTTTAGGAGACCCCATGTTTAGAGCTGTTAGATTAAAATTGAACGGCCCAGATTTCATGATGAGGATGATCCTCATCCTATGCTTAGGAGAGGATCCTCTTCCAGAAAATTTGATTGAATTTAATGTTTCTTTAACGAGTATTCCATCTTCTACCTTTGAGTGGGGCACAACTTTTCCATTTCTTCCTTCAACGTACCTTGAATATAGTGGGTCCCATTCAATCCAATACCAGAGGAGGACAATAAGAAACGTTAATTCTAAGATATGGAGGAACTTCGGTATTGTTCATAAGGGGCATAAGTATAACCCAATGTTTATACAAGAAGAATGAACCAAACGACAAGCTAGACAATGGAGAAAATAAAGGAATTAATCAATCAACGGAGTTAACTAAACAAAGAAGTAAATTTTGATGAAACGAGAGCTGGAGACAATGGAGGGATCCCGTCCTTCTAGCATTACTCTTTAAATTGTACACCTAAATCATTAGTAGCATGCATTGTTGTTTACAGTTCTTCTTTGCTTACTTTGAATGCAGAATTTAAGCAGAAAATTGGTGCATATATTATCTGGGATATTCTTCATGCTTTCCTGGCCAATTTTCAGGTATCCTTTTGCTCCTTTGACACAAAATCTCTTGTACTGTTTCTTGTTCATTAATTTATACCACCAGTGGACAGTGAGTTCTACAAGGTTCCCTGACTACTTGAGCTGATCATCGCTTTAATCCTAGAATAGCACCTCAACCAATGCTCGTTACTTTGCCTCTGTGGTTCCCCTTGTCAATTGCTTGAGGCTTCTTCTTCACGGCTTCTCCTTGGTCCCCAATGAAGGACTCGTCAAATCTGTCACGAGAGAAGGAAACCCAAAGTAATTTTTTGTTTCTAAATATTTAACCTTATTCTATGAAGCTGATCATGTCTATTTTCATAAAGGTAGTGTGCTTTTGACTTCTGTTTTCACATCTGCAGGGAGTTGCTTAGAGGTCCTTTGTATTATGTTCTCATATTGATCTTATGTGCTCTTGTGTTTTGGCGTGAGTCTCCAGTTGGACTGATCTCATTGGCAATGATGTGCGGCGGGGATGGTAACTCCTCAAGTTTCTCCATCATATTCACCTGTCTTTTACACATTCTTCCATACAACCATTGTGTCTGTCTCTCAAGAAGAACTTACATGCAACTGGTTTACTACCACTCTCTCTATCTATATCTGCAACCCTCATAGTGAACCCGTTGCTGGAAAGTTTTGGTCTTGTCTCTCTGGTCCGGACATCTCATGTGATGAGAGAGATAGACAAGTGGTTGTATACAACTCATGGTGCGGAAGAAAAACCCCTGTTAATTTTCCTCCCTCCATTAGTGCAATTATAACCATTTCAATTTCTCTGTTGACTTTATAGGTGTTGCTGATATCATGGGAAGAAAGTTTGGGTCGATAAAGATCCCTTATAATCCAAAAAAGAGTTGGGCTGGTAGCATATCGATGTTTCTTTTTGGGTTCTTGATTTCCATGGGGATGCTCTATTATTACTCCTTTTTGGGATATTTCGAACTGAATTGGATCCAGACAGCTGAAAAGGTAGCGTTCGTTGCTTTGGTGGCAACACTTGTGGAGTCTCTTCCAATTACAGAGGTATTAGATGACAACATATCTGTTCCATTGGCAAGCATGGCAGCAGCATATTTGAGTTTCTCTTTGTAGCTTGTTTGTTCTACTCCAATTCATCTCCCAAATTCCATATCATCTGGTTCGATGATTCATTACGTACTATGGAGATTAGAGGAGCAGAGGAGCAGCTGTCGTCGAGCTCTGCAGGGACTGCGACTGCATACATAGTCCAAGCCACATTCCTTGAGCTCTATGGACACATTAGCAATGACATACAGCAAAGCACAAAACCAACCAGCTTTGACTTGGGTAAGTGTCTTTGTTAACAATTTTCAGTGGATACTGTATGTTCAAGATCCGATCAATTTTGATTGGTGTTGGTATTTTGGCGGATTGGGCAGCCGACCTCACTTGGTGGGAAAAAGTTTTATTGTTGTTGTTGGATTGGATCCTAAAATTCCAAAACCGAGAAGTTTGGATCAGATAGCAGATTTTCTTCTAATTCTTGCACCTCTAATATCGTTTGTATTAGTTTTATCAAAAAAAATGTCGTTTGTATTAAAGAAAAAATCATGGAAAATCTTCTCGCATCTTATTTTGTTATTCTCAAGAACATACATAAATATAGATCGAACACTCTCTCATCTCTTTGTATTTAACCCACCGTGTCCTGTCAAACACTCTCTCATCTCCCTAATCCAGCTTTAAAGTAATTAAATCACATGAAATAAAAACAAAAAAGCTCTCTTGATAATCAGGTGATAAATAAATACACGGTCACTCATTCTTAAATTTAATATCAATGGTAGTGAATAAATGGTGGGCTTTAATGTTTTATTCTCAATTCTTGATGTTAAATCCAACAGTAGGTGACTAAGAGAACGACAATGTAATGTATTAGCAAAGCTACTTCCTTGTACAATACTAAGTACTGGTTTGGGATTTACTTGATTTTTCAAAAAGCAGCTGTGAAAAAAAAATCTGGGTTGCAAAATGAGTTTGGTAGTGAAAAATCTGCTTTTGTTCAAAATTATGGGCCAAAATAATCAGAAAAGCCGAAGCAGCTTCTCAAAACCGGCTTTTTTTTTTCACAGCATGCGGATGAGCGGTAACCACTTAATGGTGGTTACTAAATGGCAACAGCATCCTCACATATTTAGCAAAATGTGTTCGACCCCTCCCCAATTCCTCTCTACGAAACACCACCCCGAGTCACCCACTGACCACTTCCCAACCTCCACAGCCAGTCCTCGCTTCCCCCTTCCCCCTTTCACATTTAACAAAATGTTTATATGAATTTTTCTAGTCTCATATGGTGACATCTGTATACAATTAATGAATTTAGTTAATTATTTATATGCACGGACTGGACATTTGCGTTTTGATTTAGTATTTGAAAATGATTTGTTTTGTTTGTAACTTTTAAATGCAAGCATGCAAAAAACAAGTAGACTTTGAATACCATTTTGGTTTGGTATTCAAATGATATAGTATTCCGAATCGTAAACCGGCATAAACCGAACCAAAATTATCGTGAATCGAACCGTACTGTTTTAGTAGTAGTTTTAAACGGAACAACACTGAACCGAATCTTTGATATTTTCTGGTTCTAGTTCTGATTTGAGGGTGGAACCGGACGAAATTGAATGGTGCCCACCCCTACCTGTGTGGTGGCCACTAAGGGTTCGCTGCTACTATCATATCTTGTGATAGATCTGCATTGGTGGTGTTTTGTTTGTTCGTGTTTGTGGTAGCCATGTAAGGGTGTATTCTACTTTGTTTTTTCTTTTTTTGTGCAAATTCATTACATATCAATTTCTTGGTCACTGAAGTAATCTACTCAATTAGCACCTTTGTATTTATTTGTATTGAGCAATGAAATATCACTCTATCGTTTCATGTAAAAAAGAATTATGTCGAGAAATGTTATCATTTTTTTTTTATCACGAGATATGTTAGCATTAGTCATTAAGTAAATTATTAAAAACCATAGTTAGTTCAGCACTCGTTGATTAATTAATGAATATAGTTGTACAAGCAGATATTAGCAATCAAACCTTTTAACCGCACTTGGTTTAGTGATATTTTATTGTTTTTGTTTAATCATTGAAAAAAGTTCCAAGTTTAAATCACCTTCCCCATCCTTTGAAACAAATTTCTGTAAGAGTATCTCGAACAATGCTAGCTAAATTTTTATTATTATAGCTAGTTAAATAACCCAAATACTAATTTGGCTAGCCGCCACTTCCAACAATACTATTTAGCCCACGAAAAATGCAACTTTATTTTGCCACAGCAACTTTACAATCAATTTATTAGAGGTTGTGTTGGTTGCCTGGATCTCATGGCTAATCCTGCAAGTAAGTCTTGCTTCCTATATTTGTATATTAATACTACATGTTGACAACGATATAATATATAAATGTAGTCTAGTGATCTGGTTGATCAAGTTCTTTGAGTGTCTAAATTCTAACATGTGGTATCAGAGTCAGGTTAGTTGAAACCAATAATGCAAAGTTTGTTGAAGAGTACCAATCAATGCTTTCTCATTCCAAAAATAGTTACGTATTTGAGGTAATGGATGTAATGGAAATGAATACTGACAATGGTGCCACAATTTTGACTTTGCCTGCAACTGTTGTATCCAATAGTTCACTCACACAAGCTCAAATAGAGCCTTCTGCACTCACTTATCAGAATCTTCCTTCATTCAGTTCTGCACCAGTTTCAATTACACAAGAACCAGCAATACCATCACCAATTTCAACATCAACTGAGCATGCAGGACCATCCAATGTTGCAACATCCTCCACTACTGCAACACTAAGGAAATCACAAAGAACTAGAAGGTCTGCATTCTAACATGTGGTATCAGAACCAGGTTAGTTGAAACCAATAATGCAAAGTTTGTTGAAAAGTACCAATCAATGCTTTCTCATTCCAAAAATAGTTATGTATTTGAGGAAATGGATGTAATGGAAATGAATACTGACAATGGTGCCACAGTTTTGACTTTGCCTGCAATTGTTGTATCCAATAGTTCACTCACACAAGCTCAAATAGAGCCTTCTGCACTCACTGATCAGAATCTTCCTTCATTCAGTTCTGCACCAGTTTCAATTACACAAGAACCAGCAGTACCATCACTCATTTCAACATCAACTGAGCATGCATGACCATCCAATATTGCAGCATCCTCCACTATGCAACACTGAGAAAATCACAAAGAACTAGAAGGTCTACATTGTCTAGTGATTATGTAACTTATCTTAATGAGATTGAGTATGGTATTGGAGATGAGGATGATCCAACTAACTATAAAGAGGCCATGGAAAGTGCACAAGCTTCTTTATGGTATGCTGCCATGCAGGAAGAATTGTGCTCGATGGAAAAGAATGGAGTCTGGACCCTAGTTGAGGGATGCACATATATGAATCCTATAGGGAATAAGTAGGTTTTCAAGACCAAACGGGTAATGTTGAGAGGCTCAAAGCCAGATTAGTGGCAAAAGGTTGCACACAAAAGGAGAGTTTAGACTACACAGAAACATTTTCTCTATTATCTACAAAAGACTCTTTTCGAATCATCATTGCCCCTGCAGCTCATTTTGATCTTCATTTACATCAAATGGATGTGAAGACTGCCTTCTTAAATGGCAGTCTTGATGAAACAATTTACATGAAACAGCCCCAAGGATTCGTTGAAAAGGGGAAATAAGGTTTTGTATGCAAGCTTAATAGGTCTATATATGGACTTAAACAAGCCTCTAGACAGTGGTATAAGAAATTTGATGAGGTAGTGGTTTCATTTGGCTTCATTGAAAACAAAATCGACAATTGCATCTATTTGAAAGTGGTGAAATCAGGTTTCATTTTTATGGTACTATATGTTGATGACATGCATTTGGCTAGTTCAAGTGTGCAATTATTGAATGAAACAAAAACATGTTGTCTAGCAGCTTTGATATGAAGGATTTGGGTGAAGCACACTTTGTCTTAGGCATTGAAATTGTGAGAAATAGATCAAAAGGAACTATTGGTCTTTCTCAAAAGAATTATATTGACAAAGTGCTTAAGAGGTTCAACATGATAGGTTGTAGTAGTGGTGATGTACCTATTTCAAAGGGTGACAAGCTTTCTTTAGCTTAATGTCCAATTACAGATTTGGACTTTGAAGCTATGAAAAGTAAACCTTATGCTTCACTTGTGGGAAGTGTGATGTATGCACAAGTGTGCACTGGACCAGACTTGGCTTTTGCATTAAGTGTTCTTGGAAGATTTCAATCGAATCCTAGTGTGGCACATTGGAATGCAAGAAAGAAAGTATTGAGATACCTCAAGAAGACCAAAGATTATGTTTTGGGGTTTCATCGAGTAGAAAATCTAGAAGTTGTGTGCTACATTGATGCTGATTTAGGTGGCTGTGTGGATGACATGATGTCAACAAGTGGCTATGTTTTCATTATGTGTGGAGGAGCAATCTCATGGAGAAGCAAGAAACAAACAACAAGAGCTGTATCCACAATGGAATCATAATACATTGGCTGCTTTGAGGCAATGAAACAAAGCAATTGGCTAAGGAATTTGATTCGAGAAATGCAGGTGGTTAAAAGCATTGAAAGGCCACTAAAGATTTATTGTGATAATGCAGCAGCAGTTTTCTTTGCCAAAAACAACAGAAAATCAGAAGCATCTAGACTAATGAACATTAAATATTTGAAAGTTCAAGACAAAGTTAAAGAGAGAGTCATTGAGATAGAACATCTTGGTACTTTTAACATGGTGGCAGACCCTTTGACAAAAGCAATACATGTTACGGCCTTCCAAAGACATGTTGAGAGCATAGGTTTGCGAACATGCCTTGATCATGTTTGAATATGGGAGTAAGGTACGTTATCCTTACTTATTGAATTGTGAGTTTGTATATTTCATATTAGAATATTGATACACGGGCAGAACTTTTATACAAAGCCTATAAGCCATTCTAAGTAAACAGAACCTATAATCAAGCTAATTACATCCTACAATCACTTAATCACAAGAGTTGACAATATCAGAAGCTACAATCACTCTCAATCAAATCATGAGATTTCTTTCCTTTAACACTCCCCCTCAAGTTGGAGTGTGAATGTCAATCACACCCAACTTGCCCAGATGTGCATGGAAGATGGGTGCACGTAATGGCTTAGTAAATAAGTCTGCGACTTGCTCCCCTGTCTTGACATAGGAAGTTTTGATTTCTCCTTTTTGAACTCGCTCACGGACTGTGTGGCAATCGATCTCGATATGCTTTGTACGTTCGTGATACACCAGATTTGCAGCTATGTGCAAAGCGGCTTGGTTGTCACAAAACAATCTTGCTGGCTGAGGATGGTTAACATGTAAATCTTCCAATAAATACCTCAACCAACTTAATTCACAAGTAGTAGTAGCCATGGACCGATACTCCGCTTCCGCGGATGAACGAGCTACTGTAACTTGTTTCTTGCTTTTCCAAGATACCAGTGATTTTCCAAGAAAAATACAATAACCAGTCACTGACCGACGTGTAATGGGGCAACGAGCCCAATCTGCGTCGCAGTAACCAGTTA